TTCCGCATTCCGCTCGCTTTCACTTTTCGCACAAACATGTTTACGCTCGATGAATCGAATCTTGGAACGATCCAGAAGATTCTACATGTTTCCGCTCGCTACGATTCCCTATGCTAAATCTTATCGCGGGATCGTTACTGTGGTTATGATTTGCCTCCACCTCGCGTTGCCTCCTTTGCCTCGCCGCGCTCGGAACCCATCTGTTATTGATGGATTGATTACGCGGCGTCTCCGCATTACGCTCTTACGCGGATAATCCGATTCTGCCTTCGGTAGGCTATTTCGCTTTGCCGCGCTCGGCTTGCATCGAAACTCGCTGGATATATTGCCCGGCGGTTCCGCTCCGCGTTTCTACGTCGATAATTCGATCCTGCTTACGGTCGGTTATTCTGTTTTTACCGCGCTCGGATCACATCGAAACTTGCTGGATACATTACCCGGCAATTCCGCTTCGCGTTTCCACGTCGATAATCCGATCCTGCCTACGGTCGGCTATTTCGCTTTACCGCGCTCGGATCGCAGCGAAACTCGCTAAATGGATTATGTTGGATCTACGCGTCATGCTCCTGTATCGGTGAGCCGATTTTGTCATCGGTTGGCGCTTTCGCCCTACCGCGCTCGAAACTCATCATAACTTGCTGAGCGGAATACTCGGTATCCATGCATCGCGCTCCTAGGTTGCTAAGCCGCTCCCGTTGTCGGTCGGCTAATTCGCACTCCCGTGCTTGAAACTCATCGCAATTCGCTGAGTGGAATACGCGGCGTCTATGCATCGCGCTCCTAGGTTGCTGAACCGGTCCCGCGGTTGGTTCGCAAGTTCGCGTTATTGCGCTCGGAACTCATCGCAACACGCTGAGTGAAACACGCGGCGTTTATGCATCGCGCTCCCAAGCTGCTGAGCCAGTCTCGTGGTTGGTTCGCAAGTTCGCGCTATCGCGCTCGGAACTCATCACAACCCGCTGAGTATAATTCGCGGCGTTCGTGCATCATTTTCCTAAGCTACTGACCCGGTCGCGTGGTCGGTTCGCCAATTCGCGCTATCGCGCTCGGAACTCATCGTAACTCGCTACCATGACCTCGCGCTCGCTCCCTTATCCCCGCGGAACGAGTTTTTACCGGACAGCAAACTCAACCTTTGTTTGCTGTCGCGCGATGCGTCCTCATGCTCATGCATCCGCGTATGCGGTTAATAATGGTAACTAAACAAAACCAAAAAGGAAACAGAACCAAATCAAATATTATTTGGCTGGATCGCCACTGAACCCTTTCCCTTTACATGGCTGTAGCCAAATAAATTATGCTTATCGGGGTTTTATATCTATCCTAATTTTCGATTTACTTACATCTAAATAATGAACGCTCGCGTCTAATTTTTTATATTGGCGAAGTCATCGCGTTCCTTTTATTTTATACATATATATACATCGATGGAGTCTTCACTCTCCACGCCGAATCACTAAGCGCTTTGCGCTTACTCGCTTGACGTCGCGGCGGGCGTTGCCTCTGCCTCGGACATCCCCCGCGTCTGGTACGCAGCCTCCTGGCCACTCGTCCCCGGCTGTTCACCTTTCGACCGTCTGTTGGTCGATCCGGGTTGCTGGCGTTACAACTGGACTATGGGCCGCTTCGCCGGCACCGGCCTGGTTGCCCATATCCCTTTACCGATGTAGTATGCATCGGTCAGCGCCGCCCCGGTCCTCGGCGAGATCATGACGCCTCTGGCTGCGTCTGGTAGGTCGCGGTCATCGGACGGCTGCAATCTCCCCGTCAAGTCGAGCTCCGAGGTTCCCTCGGATACTCGGCTTCTACCCGACTTGGCAGCCGTGCGTTGCCGCGTCTTCGGCGTTGGATTTGACTGCGCTTTACGCTTGACCGCCCGCTGCTGGCGGTCCATTCGGCCTTCCTTCTGCAGGAGACTCTGATTAAGCGCCATCGCCGCTTGAAACGCCTTCCGCTTACTTCCGACGTTCTCAATCGTAATCACTGTATTAATCTCGCGCTCGTATGTCACGCATCTTTGTTCGTCCTCCGCTTCATCCTCATCATATTCCGCTTTGGACTCGCTCGTGGCGTCGCCGCGTTCGCCTTCGCTCTTGCGCCGCGCTACCTCTGTTGTCATCGGCGTTACCGTAGCTGTTCCTGTGGCGTTTATTGTTGCCACTGTTTATACGGGTGACACGTTCTGGCCTGTCGTCCTCGCGTTTTCTCCGGTAACGCTCAATTTTGCTGAATCGATGTTTCGTCTAACTTGTCGCCGTTCGAGCCGTTTGGACGTTTTTCGTGGCTTTTCCACGTTTGTCTCGCCGTCTCTTCCGCTTCGTTCGCTGATGCGCCTGTCTCAGCTCCGTCCGCTTGGCGGCTCGCGTCTCGGCTTTCCCCCGTCTCGCTCTGTCTCGCGCTCGACGCTCGGCCTGTCGAGGCTGTCATCTCGGACTCGGATCTTTCCTCATCCTCCGCGCTCGCCTCGTCGCTCGGCCCTTCCTCGTCGTTGCTCGGTATCGCAGACATGGATTGTCGTTCGGCTGTTGCCTCCGTCGTTGCTGATTCTTGTACCGAGCCTATCGGCGGTAGCGCCGGTCTCGCCGGTGACGGCGGTACCGATCTTACTTGTCCGTCGTTCTATGGTCGCGCGTCATCCGCTTGCACTAAGTACTCAGGGCTTCATTTGCGTTGCGCCTCGTCCCTGGCCCTTCGCTCGTCTACGAACGCTCCTTCGTTCTCCTGCGGGCCTCTCTCGCGTCCGCGGATATAACTACGCGCTCGGATACCGTCCCCGTCCACGTCGATAATTATGCGGTACGGTGGGACTACCTGTTCCTTCATGTATCGCTGTGACACCGTGACCAATGCCGTAGCTATTTCTCGGTCGTCGTCGGGATGTCTGATAGATGTGTCCACGCGAAATAAAGTTGTTGAAGCAGAGAATAGTTGGTATATATATGAAAAATTCATATTTACATGTACTTTTCATATACCAACTATTCTCTGCTTTAACAAATTATTTCTGTTATAGTTATTAAGCGTTTAAGTTAACAAAACATAAATAATTTGTTAAAGCAGAGAATAGTTGGTATGTGAAAAGTACACATAAATATGTACTTACCAAGCAGACAGTTGTCACGTGACCTTCTTTTGCATACGCGTGCGGCTACGGAGCATGCGCATGTGGCCGCAGGGCATGTTCGTGGTCGCTACCAGTCGCTACATCGCGTCGGTATGACAGGTCTCATAACCTGATAGTCGCCAACTTTAACCGTTAATATCTCGCTTCGCGGGGCAGAGCGACACTTTTTTCTGCCAGATTCGGTCGTTTCGTGCAAAAACGCGTCGATTGAGCCCAAGTTGAACGAAATCGGTGAGGAGGCCACTATTCTTCAGATTTACCCATTTTTTTCGCTCTCTAGGCTCTGAGAAGTTGTTCGTCAGTACAAACGATCGCAACAAGACTGCTCATTTGAAATTACTCGAGTATACGCGACAACTCCAAAAAGTAATAATGTGGTGGTGGGGGAAGGGGGAGCGGAAGGGGGAATTAATGTTTATAGAACTGCGCGGTGGATTTTTTTAGGAGAGAGGGAAGTAAAGCCTACTCTAACGGTGATGATGGAGGAGGGGAGGGGGAGTAAGAAATAAAACATAAAAAAGTTATTTATAATTTATTTATTAAAAAAAGATCGCAAATCTTTATGGCGTCGAGCGTGACCACTAATTGAATAATTTCATTACATTTTGTAACGCGCAATTCTTTTCATGTTTTCCGCATCGCATAGTATTGGTGTCATCTAGTTTATTCAAAGATTCGATATCTTCGTAATGCGCGTCCAGAGTCTCGACGATTAGGTTTTTTCGCGCATAATTCTCCAGCAGATCCACCAACCATTCTCGTTTCTGGCATCCCTTGACGTACACGAGAGTCGGCATCTCGTCGTCATCGTCTTCTTCTTCTTCCATACCAAGCACGGCCGACGTAATCAGGCGTTTCACCATGCTGTACGGTACGTTTCCGTCTTCCCATCGTAATCCATGGTGATTGTGAATCAACCAGGTAGCGCACGATTTGTCGGATTTTGTGAGGAGATTCCACGGCATGGGGTACGTAAAGATATGATGCGTCAGAACGCAGCCCTTTCTCAGCACCGCCACCTCCTTCACGACAAATTTCATCCCGACGAGGAATCCTTGCAGGTCTACGAACGTTGGTACGGACATGACGAGATTTCTATATCTTTCTATCTCCTTCGTCGATGCGTCAATCGAGAGGAATGACGCGCAACTCTGCAAACCGTCTCGCGACACTCTGATTTATACTTCCCCCTCCCTCCCTTGCCCCTCTAAATAATTGTATCGGAGACTGATGGAAAGAGAGAAAGAGAGAGAGAGAGAGAGAGAGAGAAAATAATATTCACGTCGACGTTGCCGCAAACACTCAGACTATTTTGCGCACCACGTTCGTCAACGGGTTGTACTCAATCACGCGGTCGTGTATGATGAGACAGTACGCGGAGGTATTCGGCGGTACGTTCTCCATGCAGTCAAATTCTATTCTGACATCCACGGTGGCGTTTTTGACGGATTCGTATTGGCGGGAGCAATCGATGATCACGAACGGGCCGTTACGTAGAAAATTCGAAACGGTGAGACTCGGCTCGAGATATTCGTATCCGTAGTAGCCCTTGCAGAAACGTGCATACATATCGTACAGAATCGCCCATCTGTGTTTGCCAAAGTCCAAATTCAGATCGTCGTACGGATAAACTTCCGAGTTTAGATAGAGTTTTACGTTGGTCAAGTTGCAGTCGTCGAATCGGCTTGTGTCGGCGGACATGACATTCTTCCGACCCGTCTGCAGAGCGAAGACGACGTATTGCGGTTTCTCGAGCTGAGTCGCGGTTTTAATGGCCCACGAGTGCTTGGTCGTGTTCTGCAACAGGGGATACTCGTACAGATCCCACGAACGGAAACCCATACTTAGATATCGTCCGTCTTCCAAGGCGCGCAGCATCGACAGCTTGTTGATCTCGTTCAATACCACGTGAGGCATTCGCCATTGTATCTTGAGTATTTTGATAGTAGGCTCCAACGCGAGACTTCCCACAAGGGAATTGTTGTCGTTGCGCGCTCGTATCAAGATCAATTCGTGACGAGCGTTGATCACCACGCGTTTGTAATCTTCGCAAAATCCCAGTAACAAGTTGAGCGGTACGCAGAAATTGAAATATCCGTTCGGATTATTATGTGGTTCCCAGCCCGCGTTTTGCAGGATCACGCTTCTGTCGGACGATACCGTAACGTAGTTCTTCAGCGTGCTGGTCATTCCTACGTTTCTGCAACGATCAATCTCCATACCGTCGAGCTCGTATCAAATCTCATCGAACATAAACGCGACGCAATTAGTACCCAATACCACATTATCGACTTGGTCGGCTGCTCTGGTCACCGTCAATGTTCCTTCGATGTAGAGAAAACTTTCGCACGGCAACGTATACAGATCCTGCTGTTGTATGGGTATTCGTATCTCGTCGCTATAATCAAACGTTGTGTTGGCGTACGGGTTGTACGTGTGAGTCTCGATCTTGACGATGCGATCGTCAAAGACCGGCTCGCTTCCGATGTTGAGAATTTCAGTCATCGTTCAGATGTTTCGCACCGCGAATCCCAGAGATTGTAAAAACTTAACGTTCGACGCGTTGAGCTTCTTTCTCGTCGCTTGTTTAACGCTACCAAATGTCGACTTGACGATATCGTCGATCGGTGCAACCGTAAAGATATTACTGTTATCTGTCGCGTGCTCCGAGTCGTTCAACACTAGTATCTCATGTGTCGCGCGTACACTCACGCTCACGCATACACTGGCGCGTTATCGCTCTCGCTGTCGTACGTGCAATCTGACGGTGATCTCTTCTCCGCGAAAATCGAGCAATCGTTCGTCTTGATCAGCGACGCGTATCGTTAGATTCGTAACGCTCCGCGCGATGATCGGCAGATATATGATCTGCGCCGGCGTTTCCGATATCTTATATCCCGGTGGTACGCTCGGTGAAAATTCGTGTATCGTATGAACGCGTTTGCCGTTGCTGTACGCTCCCGCGGTCACGTTACACTCCACGCGGATAATGTTTACGTTGATAATATTAATCGGTGCGTCCGATTCGTGCCACTGTCCCGGCTGCAATATACGCGTCGACGAGAATCCCAACAGCGATCCGACGTTGTTCGGTTTGTTAAAATTCACTCTGAAAGCGCACTTGATCTCACTCTTCATCGTATTGTAATTTGCACGAAGCACTATCGGGTATTCCGCGACCTCGTCTTCGTAGCCGTTCGCGCGAACGGTCTCCTCTCGCGCGATATCCGCGATCGACGTACGACGATCGTCGTTGGAACGAACCACGCGTCGCGGACGTTTACGTGAAATTTCACGTTTCAAAAACTCGTGTATGGCTCGTATCTCGTACGATCCCTCGGGAATCGTAATTTCCGTGTCATCCTCGTCAAAATAAAATTTATTATTCGAAGAATTCACGTTCGGAATCGTGTGATAAGTCTCGAAACACGTTAGACCGAGCTCGTAGTCACCGTCGCTCAGATCCACGGCGGGAAAATAGTGCTCCGCGAGGATGCTACTTTTCCCGGTCAGCGTAAACGTTATAGACATATCGGCGGAAGCTGGTCGACGAACACTGAGTCTCCGCACGGCGCGTCGTCAGGTTTTAAATTAGCGCCGATCGTCATCGATCGTCCGGAGAAATTGCAAGCACAACTGGCCACAGATGCTCTGATCGTAGCGCTGATAAGACGTGTGATTGTACTCAATTTTCGTCACGCTCGGTCCGAAATATCGCACCAGTTCTTTCGGTGGTCGAAGATTGCCGAAACTGTCGAAATATACGACTCGATCTCCCCTCTTCGCGTACGCTACCCAATGAGTACCGGGGCCGGCTGCATCGTCCAAATTCACGATACCGCTCTCGTTTCGACGTACACCATCGACGATCGGTAACGAATCACGCATGAAAACACCTCTGAAGAACGGTACGCGCATTCGCCTTGCCAGTCGACTCAATTGTACGTTAGTCGTAACACCCGTGGGCATATTTAACGTTTTCTCTGATGTTTTTTTTTTTAATCTTTAACGCTACTCCTCGCCCGCGTTTGTGTGGGCCGAGATACAGTCCTTGTCCATATTTGTACGGAGCGAGATAAAGTCCGCGACCTTCCATGGCGCGATTGTGACGTTGCGTCTCTTCCAGCTGACGTCGCGCGGCTTTGCTAGCGTTCATCGCCGTTGTAATTCCGGCCGCTCCGCCGGCCAGAGAACCGAGAACTCCCAACAACGGTAGAATCGGCAATACGCCGCCTCGTTTCGCTGCCGGAAGTATCCGTTTTTTCGAATCCGCTCTCTTCTTCATCTTCATTTTCGTCTGGGTCTTCGCCTTTGTCTTCGCCTTTATTTTCATACCCATTCCGAGCTTCGTCTTAGCCTTCATGGCCGCCCAGACGGCTGTAGCGGCAGCTCTTTCTCCGAAAGTCGAATCTTTCGCGATGACGCGTCCCAACGCTCTTTCGGCGAGTATCTCGTCCGCCGCGTGTCTCTCGGTGAGGCCTTTGTTACGCGAATAGTATATGTCGTGCTCGCGACACGCCGCGTCCAATGGATTTACACCCGGATCACCTCTAGCCAATCGTTCTCGCAAACGAGTTCCCGGACCGCAATACTGATAGCCGGGAATGTGCAGTTCGAACGGAAGTGCACCTATCGCGCGATTAAACAGGCCTCTACCTGTTTTAATTTTTTTCGTTGACATTCGCCGCAATCCTTTATCATTGGCGCGGGACCGTCGTTGTGCGTTCGCTGCCACGGTTGATTGTAATGTGCGTCACAGCGACGATAGGTCTGAACCTCCAAATCCGCCTTTATATGCTGCGGAAGCTTATCCCACACATAGTAGACGTGATCACCGCACACTTGCAATAGAACGGCTTCCGGTACGAATTGCAGCTGTTCGGCGCTAAAATCGCGAATGTCCGAAGGTCTCGACAGCAGGACGAACATCTTTGCGACTGAGCGATTCGCGATGCCGCGCACCTATAAAACGTTCGAACGAGAAAGTTTGATTCAGTCGTACAAAGTGTGAGGAAAAAAATGAGATTCGTGCGGCAACCGTTAGCGATTCGCGTGACGAATTGCGACGACAGATCACGGTCGATGGAGGGCAACGCGGATAGGCGCAGACACGGTACGATGCTGCCGACTACTATACGCGCGATCATTTGCGGTCCCTCGAATTGCGGTAAAACCAACGTTCTGATAAGCTTGCTGGAAAGTCCGCACGGCGTACGCTTCGAAAACGTGTACGTATACTCGAAATCGTTGCAACAGCCGAAATACCGATATTTGGAGAATTTATTGACATCGATCGACGAAATCGGTTACTTTACGTTCTCCAATAACAGTGACGTCATTCCACCGAGCGACGCGTGTCCGAACTCGATATTCGTCTTCGACGACGTGGCGTGCGATAAGCTAGACACTGTGAGAGAGTATTTCTCGATGGGCAGGCACTCGAACGTCGACTGCTTTTATCTCTGTCAGACGTACGCGAGAATACCTAAACATCTGATACGCGACAACGCGAATCTGCTGATCCTATTCAAACAGGATGGTACTAATTTGAAACACGTGTACAACGATCACGTGAATACCGACATGTCGTACAATGAATTTTGCGCGTTGTGCCACGATTGTTGGCAATGCAAGTACTGATTCGTAGTGATAGACAAGGACAGCGCGCTTTTGAACGGGCGATACAGAAAAGGATTTAACGTGTTCGCGATACCGTAAAAGCGGTCAGTCGTTGCCGATACGTCGTCGGTGGTGAAACGTTAGCGTTACAGAAAGAAATCGACACGCTGCTTTTTTCGCGATGGCCGCGATCGACGGGAGCGAGAATATTCGCAAACGCGAGAAGGTCGTAAAAGAGATTGCGAAGACGAGTGATTCGATTCGCAAAAAACTTCGCGCTTTGAAGACCGGTAAGATCGAGAAGGACATTGAGTTGGACACGCACTTTAAACCTCTCATCGGGCCGTTGAAAAAGATCGTTGACAACTCGAGCTTGATCGCGGTGAAAAAAGAGGAGCCGACGGAGAGCGACGCGAAAATCGAACCGCTATCCGTTCAACAGCGCGGGCAGGAGGAGGAGGATGCTACACCGAAGAGAAAGAAGAAACGATTAGACTCCTGGTCGGATCTTTCATTGACACCGCGTAAATCTAATCAATCGACAGTACTACCGATAACCTCTACACCAATAACCTCTACATCGACGCAAACCGTGCAACGTACAAGTCCCGAATTTCTTGAAACTGCGAATGTTTTCGAAACCACGGACGACTCGATCAGGAAAACCGTTCATAAACGGTTGCAAACGTTGAAGGGTCGAGAATGGTTTATAGAATCGTTGGAAGATCACTTGGGTCCACTGAGCCGA